CAAGCTCATCATTGTCAAACTCAAAATGCAGGGATCTCATCCCCTCTGCTACTTGCTTTAGGAACAATGTAGACTTTGGAACTAGGCCCCGTACTTCAAGGATTGGACCCTAATTCCTATTCTTCTGATTTACCTTTCTTCCCCCCAGCCCATGTCTCTACAATAGACGTTGCTAGAATGAGCAAAACACAGACAAATACATGGCCACAGACAGACCTCCCAGACCCACAGCTTCAAGGAGTAGCTCTCGGATAACATTTCCAACCAACATAAATTACGAAACATAAGCAATGCCATGAAACAACGTCCTGAGTTTACAAATAAGTTGTAACTTCTTCATAAATCGAATATGACAATGTGGGATGTTAGCAGTGGTCGGGGGACGGGAAGAAGGAATGAGCCCGTTTTAGTTCTGGAGGTAATTTGTCCACCTACATAAATAGATGTGTTAGTGCCGGTATTTCAGTACTAACCTCTACACACGTGGAGATTGGGAACAACTAAGGTTAGAGAATAGTAATTGTAAGCAATGAAGGTTTGATACTATCTCAAGCCCCACCACTCTGTGTGATATCATGACATCATCTCAGGTTCTGAGTAGGGGCACCCAGGAGCAGAATGTGTGTGTTTAGGGAGGCATCAGTTAGCTTCTAGGAATTTTCAAATATTTGTTGAGAATATGAGCTTAAATAACAATGTTATCTTTTAATTTGAAATTGTGCTTTTATTGTTGAAATAATGAACAGGTTCTAATTTTAAAATATTTTGTCAGGAAGATTGCTAAGTGATGTTTTTGGTGTATTTTTTTTTTTTTTAAATATGAGATCTTGGTCTTCACCCAGGCTAGAGTACAATGGTGTCATTATAGCTCACTGTATGTAACCTCAGACTCCCCGGCTTGAGCTATCCTCCTGTCTTAGGCTTCTGGACTATAGGCACATGTTACTGCGCCTGGCTAATTTATCTTTTTTTTTTTTTTAGGAAGGGGAATCTTTACTTGCTCAGGCTAATTTGAACTTCTGGCCTCAAGCTTCCTCCCTCCTGGGCCTCCCAAAGTGCTGGGATTACTGGTGTGAGCCACTGTGCCTGGCTGCTAAGTGATAATTGTGAATTTTTACCTATAAATATTGACAGATGTTTTCTGGAAAGGGAGAGACGTTAAAATCTAAAGGAACGCTATATTCCGTCTGTCCCCCTCTCCTCCAAATTTTAGACCCATTTACTAGCTGTGTCAATGACACTGAGTTGCTGGGCTTCCTTCCCTGTGATCAGAGAAAAGTGGGCGGTGCAGACCCTTCCTCCCCGCCGGGAAGAACAGCGCCCTCACATGGTGGAAAGCTGAGCCGCGTGCCTGGTGTTGAGGAGGCCCCAGGGGCAGTGGCAGTGGAAGGACCTTCCACCTGTTTCTTTCTGGCATGGTTTGAGGGCTTACTATTTACAAGTGAGGCAATCTTTCTGGGTATGCTCACAGAATGGACAAATAGTCCAGCGGGAAAGAATGATAATGCAGGAATTCTCCCATTTTCAATTTTGACATCAACTCGTCTTTAAGTCATTTCTCTCATGGTCTAAAATGCTTTTGGAATAAGAACCGTAAGAACATTGAGTGTGTCATTTTGGAAGGTCTGACTGCAGATCACCAGTGGCTACAACACAGACAACTGTGTTTGTGTGGAATAAATTTTGGGGCTCTTGCCAGCCTTGTGTCTACCCTAAAAAGTCAGGGGCAGGCGGCTGCTTCTACACGTAACACGTGAGGAAGCCCAAAGGTGGTGGCTAGTTTGCAAGGACATGACCTAATACGCCCACATAGGCATACCTGTGTTTTTCCTTAACAGGTGAAGAGAATTCTGAGCAGCAGGTCTGAGCACTTTGAACCAGCACCCTACACCGTGATACGTGGTGATCTGTAAGTCACTGCCTTGCCTACAGGAGCACATTAGATTTCAAGGTTACGGCTAATTTATGACAGGCTGGACAAGATTCCTCCTACCTGGCTTCTTATCCCAGCTCCAAATGTGAGGGGTCTGCTTGGGGTTTCATGTATGAACACCCCCTCTGCCCCCACCACGTCAAGATGGGACTATGTCTGCATCTCACCTCAGGTCCCCCCAAGTGCAGAATGGCAAGTGGAGATTAAACAACAGGTGGGGTGTTCTGATTTCAAATCTGGAAGAGATAAAAGTTTAGACACAGCATCCCTTGATGTATGGGGAGATTCAAGGACAAGAAGATGAAGGTTTGTGGCTCTCAGGTGGGGGGTGAAAGCCCGGGATAAAGCACGGTATCCCTCCGGCTCAGCATGGAACACCACCGCCAAGTGCAGCACGGATTACTCCCAGGGAAACCTCACTGTGCCCCTTTTCTGAATCTTGGTTTTGCTCTGCTGCTAATGCTGCCATTTAGAACAGCGTGGGGGGCAGGGGGACAGATTTTAGACAAAGAATTAAGGCTTCCTCATCAAAATGACAACTTCAAATGAGTATTTGTCCTTTCATCTGCTGATGATGAGATAGAAATGGGGGCTTTGGCATGCTCCTTGTCACCAAGCTAAAAGGAGACCTGGTCGCTATGGGAGGCATTCGTTGATTATTAGGCCTGCTTCAGTGTAGTTGACCAGACCACCTTCCTTTGCACCTAGAGGTCATCATCTGTGTAGATAATTTGTAGCCAGGGCCAGCAATAAGCACATCATACCATCAAACGCACAATTTTCTTTATATGGTTCATGGATTCTCGGTAATTTAAGATGTTTGCAGCTTTCTTAGGTCTCTCCCCCTCCAAGAAAAAGAAAAGAAGAAAGGAAAAGAGAGGAAGATTGGACATCATCCATCATCCGTGTCCAGTTGTTCTCACGCCACAGCGTGCAGATGTGGCATCTGACTTGGTAAGAGAACTGGTTTCATTCAACCTTTTCTTAGAAAATTGCTACCAATGTATGAAAGCAGGTTTGGCAGGAGGCAAGCTGAAGCCACGCCCCTGTGGAGGGTCCCACTGATTGATATTTTAAATTTCTGTAAATGAGTGGTATTCAACCTTCCTAATGCTGCCACCCTTTAGTGTGTGGGTCATGACTCACAGGTTGAGAACCGCTGTCATAGATGGTCCCAGGAAGGGCACTAGGCTCTGTGGTGGTTCTGCTCAGGATGTCAGTGAGCATGGCAGGCAGCCTCAGGAGGACACAGCAGGGGCAACAGGCCAGCTCACTGATGGTCAATCCAATGAATTTGTTTCCAACAACTCCCCCACATAATACTCACCTATGAAAATCCCCAAATTAAAGGCTTTTCATGAAGTGATATCTTTCCAATCAGCAACCAAAAGGGATGCCAAGAGGCAAACTGAAAGGATTGGCCTCCCTTTGGGTCCAGAACCTCCCACGCCTACCATGGTCAAGCCCACTCCTGCAAGTGCTATGAGGCCAGCAGTGAGCCCAGAGCTACCAGACTCCTGCAGAATGGGGTTGAGGTTCAGGAGATGGGGGAGGTTCTGCTTTCCAAGGTAACAACTTGTTAGGTCTGGGGCATGCATAGAAGGGAATGATCCATTCCAGAGCAGCCTTTCACCATATTTTTGCCTGTTCAGCTGGTAGAGTTGGGTATGTCTCCTGTGTACACCTTTGCATAGGTGCAGACATTTACGGAAAGTGCAAACCTGAGCTTGTGACCCACGAAGCTGGCTCTGGTCTCTGGGACTGACTTCTAAAACCCACCAGCCAGCAGGACCATCTGAGCCCATTCTGATGATAAAGGATTAGGTACTGTGAAGCTCATGTGATTTTAGTTCCCAGTCACTGAGTTTGGCTCATAGGAAAGGGCCTTAGGTGTCCAGAGGTACACTGACCAAGAAATGCAAAGGTTATTTTTGCTGGGGGAGCCCCTGGGGCTGAAGAGTTAGTGGGGACAGCCCAGCCTGGAAATGGGCTCCTGACCTTTAGATGCATTTGAGGGCAGAAGAGATCAGTACACTGTCCAGACCCCCGGGCAAGTGCATCTATGAGAAGAGGCCACATCTGGACAGTGGGAGGATTCTTGGATCCTGTGTGGCCCATAGCAGCCACCAGGCAAATCCCTTGACCAGTTTGTGCCTCGGGTTTCTATCTCTAAAATGAGTAAAATAATCCCTAAGAGAAATGTTACAGGGCTGAACATCGGAATTTGAGAATGAGGTCCGTGTTCCTGGAAGCCAGCCTAGCCAGCGTGCTCAACAAACCCTATGTTCTGCCTATCTAGGGCTGAAAATTGAAGTGGGGAACCTCTCTTTGCCTTTGGGTACCAAGCTTGAAGGGACAAGTCTTGTCCCCTCCTTGGATAGAGGCTTTGGGACATGGGAGAGCTCAAATTCTTGCTTTTAAGCAGTACTCTGGACAGCAAAAAAAGTTCTGTAGTCTCAGGAATCTAATTTCATATAGTTGGAATCTCTGAGCAGGCCTCTAAACTGGGAAAAATCTCCCCAATTAAATTCACAAAACTAGAAAACTGATATGGCTCTTTTGAATTAGTTCAAGCTTTCAATCCAGGGTCTTTGGAATGAAAATGTTGTAAGGGCCATGAGAACCCTGGATTTGTGGGTCAAGGAACCAGGTATGTGTCTGAGAACTTGGACCTGTATACAGTTCCAACAGCCTACCTACAAGAAGGCAGGGCCCAGGCTGCAGAGGACTCCTTTGCCCTTAAAGATGCCAATCCTGTCTTCTCTCCCCTTCTCTAAAGCTCCCGTGCACCTGCTCCACGGTCAACTTTCAGAGTGTGCCCCAGCTGTGCTGCTCGTGGGAGGTGGCAGCGGCCGTCACCGGCTTCTCCAAACCTTCTTTGGAAACACGCAGGGGCGTGTGCTGATGAAGTCTTTATGTTCTGGGTAAGTGGCCTTACCAGAGTAACCAGGAGGGACAGTTAACATTTATTCATATGCAATACCGATTAGGAAATCTCTCTACAAACACAACTTACTTAGAAACAGCAAGTCAGAAATAGGACACCAAGAGAAAACGAGCTGTAAATACATTTCACAAATGCAATTTTCTTTTTTGTTTTGATGTTTTCATCTTGACTAGCACCATCTGTACACGAGAAAAGTATGAACATAAATGTTTGGCTAATAAGATTTGCAAGGCACTTAATCAGTCATTCTGGGTCCTTTAGTTGTTGTTTTGTGTTCACTTTCCACAGCAATCTTACGTCCACCTCCCCCTTCCTCCCAAAAGCCAGAGAAGAGTGAGGCTGCTTTTGCCAGCAGTTCTTATGTACAAACAAGGTCTTTACAGTTCCTCAAAGTGCTTTCTCAGTCTCCTGGGGCTTCGACATCCCTTGGGCTTCCATCACTTTCTCCTTCCGGGGGTGTTTGGCATTTGCACCTTTCCTACAGAAAATCAAAGAAAAATCGCCTTCCGCTCAACGCTCACTCCAGACCTGCCACCAACCTTCATCCTCATTCATTGTAGCCGATGCCACCAGCCAAGACGACTGGGGGCGTACGATGTCTCTGTGAAGTCCTGGGGAGTGAGAGCCCGCTCTGACGGGCCCTGCTCTCTACCGGCGCCTGGAGGTGATGTCAAAGCAGGTGATCATCATGAGGTGCGCCTTGCAGAAGTTGACGCGGCTCTCCAGGCGCTCTGTCACACACTCGAGCGCCTCCAGGTACTCCAGGGAATCCAGCTCCAAAACCTGCTCCAAGTCAACTGCAAAAGAGGAGGAGCTTGGTAAGAACTGGGGCAACGGGGGTAGGAAACAGCTGCGTGGTAGGACCACCGTGGCCGTCCCCACGGCTCCGCCTTGGTCCAGAGTTCGCCTGTGTCAGGCAGCACCCATGCTCCCACCTTGCTTAGGTGGAATGGCAAGGTTTAATAGGTTTAGAGCCTTAGCATACTGTCAAGACTCTATTAGGAATAAGGTGACATTCTGGCTCCCCCACCTTTGCCATCTCCATCACACGATTGGAGAAAGGCTCTCCTGCTTATTATTACTGAGCTAGAGTCTTGCTATGTTGCCCTGGGTAGAGTGCAGTGGCATCACTGTAGGTCACAGCAACCTCAAACTCCTGGGCTGAAGTGCTCTCCTGCCTCAGCCTCCTGGGTAGCTGGGACTATAGGCCTGCACCATACCTGGCTAATTCTATTCTAGTTTTAGTACAGTCTTGCTCAGGCTGGTCTCAAACTCCTGAATTCAAGCAATTCTCCTGCCTGTCCTCCCAGAGCATTAGGATTACAGCTGTGAGCCACACTACTGGCTTGTGCCATTATTTTTTTATTAACCACAAAGCAAGCAGCTCTTCAAACTGAGATGAGGAGAACCCCTGCCTTTGGGGGGGTCTCCCTTGAGTGCCATTTATCCCCTGCCTCCTCATCTCAAAGGCTATTTCTCTCTGGTTATTCCTTCAAGCCTTTCAGGCTGAGAAACTTGATCCTGACACTCGGCACTGTCTCGTTCAGTCCCTCCAACTCACTGGTCACTGGGAAAGATGATAAGCAAAACGTATATTAAGATTCTTCCAACTCTGAAGACAAGATGAGACTGAACAACCTTCCTGATGTTCAAGAGTGCGATGCCTATGCCCTTCAATTGAGCAGGTATCTAGGGTGGGCAGCCTGGTTGAGTACCAGGAGGACCACAGCCCAGGGTGGTGGGATGGCCACAGGACCCAAGGCAGGAGATTTGCATTTAATTCCCAGCCTGGCCACTCTGTGGATCGTGTCCTGAAAAGTCATGTGACAGTCATGATTCCTACCCTACCTACCTTGAGCTGCTGTGAATGAAAATGAGATAGTGGATGTGACTCCACGTACTGTGGAAACATCAGAGACTGCAATGGAAGCTTCTTTTTACAGATGACTTCCCTGAGGGCTGCACAGTGAGGCCATGTGCTCATGGTGACACAGCTAATCAGGACGAGAGCTGAAAGGAGACCTAAACACCAGTCTGATATTTTCTAAAAAGCATAAAAACCCACTGTAGTGTGACTACATCCAGCTACATCATCACTGGATCACCTTGAAAGTAGCATCAGAACTGGAGAATGTAAGTAGATCCCGGCATGTGCATTTTTGTGCAGGCGCCCTGCCCCCTCCCCACAGGGAATAGTCAGCCTCATTGATTGTTTTTTTCATTCTTGTTTTCAATTCTTCTCAAAGAAACAATAATCCGTACTTCCCCTTTCATCTAGCTTTCTGTTCGCTCCCGTTCTCGACATCAAAAACTGGCTGATTTTTGACATCCACAAAGACGAGGAGGAAGCGACTGCCTCCCTGAAGCGTCTAAACACACTGTATTGATGCTTAAGCTTATTCCCAGCCTGGGAAAAAACAGGACTTTGTGAGATGGAGAAAATGTTTAAGGCTGCCTTGGGCATAAACAGCTCTTGAAAAATAAAATGTTAATGCAAATAGTAAAAATGAAGGGGAACTGAGTGCATGGGTGCCCCTGGGATCCTAAAAAAAAGGGAAAGGGTGTCCACAGGTGGAAAGCAGCAAGGACAAGCCTCCACTCTTATGCCTCCGTGCTCTCTGTCCCCCCGTAGTGCCTCTGACGACACACCCTGTGAGGAAGGCTCAGTGCACCACACACACTGCACAAAGGAGGTGTCTCCTGCTAACTTTCATTTAGTTGAACTTTGGAGTAATAAAAACAGATACTGAACACTCCTCTGAGCCTTAAGCACTTGACTGATAAGAACGAATTGCCTCCTCACAACCACCCTATGAAGTAAGCATCATTATTTTCCTGATTTTATAGATAATGAAATCAAGGCACAGAGAGGCTAAGTGTCTTTCCCAAGGTCCCACAGCTTGAATACAGAAAAGCTGGAGTCCAAACAGGTCAGAGCCACAAACGCTGTGCCTGAAATGTGTAGGATGCCCCATAGACCTGCCACAAGCCCTGGAGACCCAGTGAGGTACTCACAGGGGACGTTATCACCTGAGTCCTATGGACAAGGTGGCCAGGCACAGCCGGGAGGCTGACATGTCCTGCTACCTTCTTATTCACCTTCACTTGGTAACTGCACCCAGTGCTATCTCAACAGCTTCTCTGGAGCACAAACCTAGGTCTCCAGTCCCACCTACGGGCTCTCCCCACTAGCCAGGGACGACAGGGAGGGGCATTACAGGGAGCTTTAATGCCAGTGATGTATTTTGCCCCACAGACTTCGTCTTCCAGCATTGCTTCCCATATCAGTATAATAGTTGGGACCAATTTCAGTTTTATTTTGTAGCAAATAGAATGGTCAGGAACAAATAAATAAGAGACAGTTGACTCTGTCTTTCAAAGAGAGTGCAATTGTTCTGAATTGTTATTAGATGGTTACTGTCCTTCTGGAATTTCTATTAAACAGAGCTCACACTGTGGCTGGGTTTTCTTTTCTCCCCCACTCAAAAATATTTTTCTTGCTTTCTGGGTTTTCTATGAGGCTTTTCTGGGATTGTACAAGCTACCCTATTAAGAGCTCGATCAATTCTTGTCTATTTCAGCCTAGAGATGCAGGGTGATTCTGTGGCCTAGGAGCAGACTTGTAACACAGCTTTCATGTCTGGGTGATCTTATGCCACATGCAGGGGGGAAAATCTCATTTTCAGGTGCTTTGAACTGAGACACATAAGAAATAATACTGCCGGAGCAAATGTTCAACACCCTTTTGCTACCTTGGCCCCTCCCACTTGCCCCTAGGAGAGGGGGATCACTTGCTCAGTCCCACTCTCTCCAGCTAACAGGCAATGGACACTGTGCTGTAGACCCGAGGCCACCTGCCCAGCCCGTCAGTCACAAAAACAGAAAGGAGCCCTGGGCTTACATTCACTGAGCCATTTGTTGGGATCCAGCATCAGATACTGTTTGGTCGTCTCCAGCTCCTTCATCAGCCACTCATACTTGGCCCGGACCTCAGCAATTCTCTGCTGGCGATGCTCCAGGATTTTCAGTTTAGCATTGAAGCACATGACCTCCTGGGACAGAGACAGAGAAGGAGAAAAGGAACGTTGGCTCAAATCCAGCCCTGCAAGCTCTTCTGGGAAGAAACACTTATGAGGACAGTTGATGAAAAAGGAGCTGGTCCCTGGGCAGAGCTGGAGGGACCTGGGTGACCTGGGCCAAACTCCTGCCTTGACAGACCTGAGCACAAGGCAGGACTGTCACAGCTATTTCTTACATTTAGAAAGCAGGGGGTGTTCCCAGCTGGCCAAACCCTGGTCAAGACAGGAAACCACGAGGCAGCAGAGAAGTGCCCAAGACCATGCACTGCCCAGCCTCTGAGCGTGTAACACATGTCAGTGAGGGAACCACAGCGCTCTCTCCTAAGTCTCTGTCCCCTTCCCTGCCACCCACACCAGAAGCCTGCTGGGATGTCCCTCTGGGTCTGAGCTCACTTCCGCAGGCCATGGCCCTGGGACCTGCACACGGACTTACTGGGGACCCGCCACCGTGTGGGGAGGAAGCCACCTCACCTTGCTGGTGCCCCCTCGTCGCCGCTGCAGGCGCTCCACGTCATCAATTTCATAAACCTTAATCTCGAAAGGTTCCCCAAGGCCCCTCTGGGCGCCCCGCAAGGGGCCGTCGACCCAGCGGACCCCGGAGCTGGTGGCTGGTTTTCTCACAGGGGAGGAGGTGTCGAGGGACAAGGCTGGGATGAGCCTCCGTCTCTGAGAACCTGAGGGAGGGATTAAGGCTTAAATTAATTTTCCTGAATTTCAATCTTTGAAATCTGTTTTCAATGCAAGACATGAAGTCCCAGCAGGCCTGGGATCTGCAGCCTGGCCGTATCTGAGATGCTCCCATCTCCTTCTCCACAACTTCCCTGCAGAACCTTTAGAATGACCTCCTGGTTTCCACCTGTGAGACACCCCCTCCAAAACACATGCAGCTGAGAGCTGGGACCCACACTGGCACATCGAAGCACGGGTATGTAAAAGCTCCTAGTGTGTGGTGGTGTAGTTGCAAGAGTTCCAGAAAACACTGTTTGTTTAGTTATAAAAACAGAAGCAGCACTACTAAGGCCCTGTTATGGGCCAGGCCTGATTCAACACACTCTGCACCTTGGGACAAGGACTGCCACCTGTCCCCCAGTATCTGCTGTCTTATTCCTCAGCAACAGAGACCCTGGTGTTAGGGGTCACGTGGCCTCCCATGATGGAGACTAAAATTGTGCATGGGAGGGGGACTTAAGCTTTGACCAAATATCCTCAAAGGCTGGGTGTCTATTCTTCTTTTCTACTTTGTCCTGGATGAAATACAGGCTTGACAGCTGGTCCAGGAGGTTCCCACCATAAACAACAGGAAAGCAAGACAGAAGGATCCCAGATTCCTGATGCCCTGGACACTTGTCTGTGACTATATACACAGACTTTTACATGATAATAAATCTCCTTATTGTTTGGGGGGGGGGTTTTGTCACAAATCTAATCCTAATTCATTTAATTCTCATAGCAGAGGAAACTGAGGTACAAAGAACTTAAGCAACTTTCTCAAAGTCTTGATTTAAAAAAATGTCCCAGCCAAGTGCAGGGGCTTACACCTGTAATCCCAGCACTTTGGGAGGCTGAGGCAGGAGGCTTGCTTGAGGCCAGGAGATTAAGACCAGCCTGGGTAACACTGTGAGACCCCCATCTCTACAAAAAATAGAAAATTTAGCTGGGCATGATGGGACACAGCTATAGTCCCAGCTGTCTGGAAGGCAGGGGCAGGAGGATTGCATGAGCCTAAGAGTTTGAGGCTGCAGTGAGCTATGACTGACCTGTTGCTTTCCAGCCTGGGCAACAGAGCAAGACAAATCCTTTAGACACATTTTCTACTAAAAATTAATTTAAAAACCATAGAATACATTATTTCCCCAAAGGTTGTGTTATGATCAAATGCCACAGCACTGGGCATCTAGTAGGAGCCCACTAAACATTAATACCCTTGTGATTGTCAGTCTCCAAAGCATCCAGCCTGGGAGATAAAAACACACAGGAAAAAACTTGAGAATGCTATGGAGAGATGATGTGCTGCCCGGTGCCTGTCGCGACCCACGGCACTGTATTAAAGGGCCGCGGCATTAGGAAGGTTGAGAACCACTGCCTTAGAGGGAGGTCTCTAAAATGACTGTAGTAAGCCATCCCACAGGGTCTGGCTCCACTGGCCCAAGCCCACCTTTCTTGTGATCTGTGGCATGAGGGGATGAAGCCATGGCCTGGGCTCTAGGGGACAGGGCCTGATATTTTCATCTCTGTTGGAGATGGAATGTGCCTCTTGCTTTGGGAAACTAAGAGTTTTATTGCCCTTGTGTGGCTCCTCTGCCTGGGGGAGGTTTTGGTGTCCTTCCAGCCCTGAGCTTGGAATGCAGCCTTGGATACACTGCCCAGTCATGCCCTCTGAGGAGAAGGGGCATGTGCTGGAAGGGGGGTGGCTGGGGAAAGTGGATAATCCATCCCAACAGCTTTATCCTGAAGTTGCAGGGAGCCTGACTTAATTTAACTGTGAATGGACATACGGTCCCCTGCTGAGTTTGATTAAAGGTAGAGTTTGCTGAAAACCTTTGCTAGCTACACTGACTGTTGGGCTTTATCTGATTCTGCTTTTCAGTAGATGGATAAAGCGTCCCAGAGGAGCTCCACTCGACTGAGAATACGCAAGAGCCAGGGATGGCATGCACCCCCAGGGAAGGTAGCCCAAGCAGGTGAAGGGTGCAGGGTCCTGGGCCGTGTTGGGGGCAGCAGGGGTGCGGGGTTGGCGATGGCTGTTAGAGATGGCCATTAGGGTGTTCTCCAAAGGAAACCCTGCCTCTCTCCTCCAGCACCCTCCCCACTCCTCCTCCGAAGTCCAGTGGGTTCTGTCTGTTGAGTACTGAGCCAGTGTGGCTGATGACCCTTCTAGAAAGAAAGTTCTACTTTTCTCCAACTGCAAGAGATCCTTTGTCTGCTACAGAAAATTAAAAGTACCATAAAACCTCAGAGAGCAAGAGTCAGAATCCTTCCATATGGAACAAGGGGGCCAAGATCCAGGGCTACCTTCTCATTGGCTGTTCTAGGGCATTAGGAAGATGACAGTCCCACCTAGTTCCCCTGGCAGCTGGAGCCGCCTGTGCCTGCCGGGGGCATGGGTGGTCTTTCCTCCAGAGACAACAAGGAGCTCTTGCCACAGAGGTAATTCTCTCTGCAAAGCATGCTCTGCGTTCTAAGCTTCCTTGGTTTTATATCTAACCTCACTTTTTAGAGCCTAGATCTTTACCTTGTTTACCCCAACACACACATATACACCCGTATTTAGTTTTCAGCAAAGTACAAGCGCTGATCTATGACACTGAGACATCAACCCCAGAGCAAAGCGAATGCCTGTCTCCTATGTCTGAGACATTTACATCAGAATGACCCAGTCAGCTAACTCTGAGCAAGCCACTCTCCCTTGCTGTGCCCCAGGTCACCCATGGACCATCTAGAGAAGCCAAGTAAGGCAGGCTGTACAGTTCTGTCTGACCAACGGGGATGAGTGAAGCCAGGAACATCTACGTGGACCCCAGGTGAGGACTTGGCCATCCAGGGGGCTCTCATTCCCTGGGCTGTAAACACTCCTGAGTTGGTTCTTGTTATATCCTTTCTTCTGGGGGTAATAAAGGTGTTCTCAGACCATGCAAGGATGCCTGGCCTCTTCCTCTAGTACCTTGACCTTAAGGAGGAGGTCAGGAGATAGCCCCTCTAAAAGTGAAGGCAGCGAAGTAATAGGGTGGGGACTCTCAATGTTTGAACCCAAGCTGGGCACCCTCAGACACTGGCAGGTGTCCAGGATGATTCTTCTAAAGACCTGTTTGCATGAGAAACAGGAGGAATGGAGAACAGTCATGGGCTGGGCTGGTGTATGAGTTATCTAGTGCTGTGTAACAATTTACCCCCAAACCTAGCAGATGAAACAACACATGTTTACTGTCTCACATATTCCCATGGGGCAGGAACCTGAGAGCAACTAGCTGGGTGGTTCTGTCTCCAGGGGACCCCCATGGGTTACAGTCAAGCACCTGAAAGCTTGGGTGGGGTGAAAGATCCCACTTACAACCTTGCTCACAGGACTGCTGGCAGGAGGCTTCAGTCCACTGCTATGGAGGCCTCTTTGGAGGGCTATTTATGACTGGGCAGTTGGCTTCCCCAGAGGGAGGGACCCAGGAGAGTGAGAGAAGGAACCCGAGATGAAAGCCACAGTGTCTTTTCTAACCTGATCTTGAGAGTGACATGCCCTCACTTCCTTCCTACCCTACTGGACACAGAGACCACCTGGTACCATGTGGGAGGGGACTAACCAAGGTGTAAATAACAGAAGGCAAGGACTGTAGTGGGCCACCCCGGGGTCTGGTGACCACCACTCAGGATATAAGCAGATGGGAAAATATTTGGAACAAGGGCCCCTTTCTGTCTCCTGCCACTGCCTATGCTGAGGCATTGCATGAGATGGGATAAAAGTAATTAAGGCTGAATGGAGAGCAACATTTCACTGGGCTAGAGTAGCTTAGTAGAACTGTCCTGGCTGGCATCCAGTTCCTACTGCCCTCTTCCTCTGCTGTCTGGCAGTCATCTGAACTTCCTCACCATGTTCCTCCTCCCAAGGTGGGGAGGGAGTGCCTAATGTGCAGTGGGAGGCAGGGGGGCTGGGGTCTAGACTAGTGTCTCCTGTGCCCTAGAGCACAGGATCCTGGCAGTAGAGCCCCAGTCCTGGGAATGAACTGGAGTGAGGGCTCCTACCTATAGTTGGGGAGCCCTGCTTCTCCCTACTCCTGTATGTGAGCATCACCCAAGTGATGATGGGGAAGTGGGGTCTGGGCAAAGACGGTGGTCAGGCTAAGGAAATGGGTCTTAATGACCTGCAAGGAGCTCCAGGGATAATGTACCCTCACATTGCTCAAAGGGGCACAGGAAGGGACAGTCCCAACATGCCCGGCCATCACTGGGTGAAGACTGTCCCCGTGTAAACAAGGTTTCTGGTATTTTCTGCATGCCCCTCCATCTCCACCTGTCGGGCAGGTGCTCACCGCTTTGCTGAGCCCAGTCTCTGCCAGTAGGGATAGGGCAACTGAAAGGAAGGTGGGGGACAGGGGAGCAGTCCAGCCTGGCAAGATGCCTATGGTACCTGTGTGATGCTGCCTGCCTGATTTGGGATCACACGTCCAGAACCAGCCTCCTTCTGTGGCCAGTGGGTCAGGAGGACCCCTTATCCTCAACTACTCCTGCTCGTCAGCCCGGCACTCAGTCTAGACCAGCGGTTCTCAACCTGTGGGTCGCGCCCCATAGGAACTGTATGAAAGGGTCGCGGCATTAGGAAGGTTGAGAACCACTGGTCTAGACACATCCAACTCTAGTGTATAAAAAGACACTGAGGCTGGTAACAGCTGACGTCGTTTTGCTGTTTGAAAGGGCCCAGATATGACATGAGACGGTCAATCTTGGTACTTTCATGAAGCTTCCAACCAGACCCTCCCACCCCTCCTGGCTTGGCCAAGGCAGCATGCACCAGGGGGTCCGCCCGCTTTACCAGCCCCAGCACTCACAGCCCCAATGAGAAGCCTGGTACCAGGCCTCTGTTCTTAACACCATTGAGTCCAGACAGAAGGACCCATGCTGGTTTTAAAGACGCTACTGCTTAGGTCAAATGTCAGGCAGCACAGGGTGAGTGCTGGGACCTCTCACA